TGTATGATTCTAGTTTTCCTTATAATTTTGAACATACACTTATGGTAAAAATCAATTACCTGAAAAAAAAAGATAGAAAAAAGAAACGAAGCAAAGGGGGCCAATCTTCGACCTGGAATGCTATCTGCTATTGAACAAAAAATTAACTCCTTAGATAGTGAGAAAAGATATGGAGAGCTATGGCCTCACTAAGGGTATGGCTATTGATAGAGTATAATAGCAGACCATAATTCATGTACCCAACCCCAAAAAAAGCTTTGATGATAATTTCCAAACAAATGAAAATATTTGTCAAATAGAAATATGACTTGTATGATCATGTTTGCGATATGGTCCTATGGAAAATCACTATCCAACCAGTGGGCTCAACAATGTTGGCGAGAAAGAACATGACACAATGATCATGTTGGATCAAACCCACTTTCCCTCCTATGCCATCGATCCTAATGGAATGGCGATGACCTCTAGCACCATTCGTTATCATGATCATATTGGTCATAGTGTACTTTTCCTATTACTGTAGGCATAACCTCGTCTAATCCACCATTTTCAACCCACATTCTTCCAGGTTATGATTACAGCCGGAACAGAAACCACAGCTGTCACCATAGAATGGGTGCTGGCCCTCCTCCTCAACCATCCTGAAGCCCTTCAAAAAGCTCAAACTGAGCTTGACCAACAAGTTGGAAGGGAGCGATTAGTTGAAGAATCTGACTTGCCCAAGCTCGAGTACCTTCGAGCCGTTCTCTATGAGACATTACGCTTATACCCTCCCGGCCCCACTCTTGTACCTCACGAGTCGAACACAAAGTGCACCTTAGGTGGATATACTATTCCCAAAGGCACCCTGCTTTTGGTGAATGCATGGCACATACATAGGGACCCTGACGTGTGGCCCGAGCCTTTGAGTTTCAAACCTGAGAGGTTTATAGAGAGTGATATTGATGTGAAGGGTCAAGATTTTAGAGTGATCCCATTCGGTTCGGGGAGGAGGAGCTGCCCTGGCATGGGGTTGGCCTTGAGGTCGGTGGAGTTTGTGCTCGCGAATTTGTTGCATGCTTTTGAGTGGCGGAGAGAGGGGACTGAGCTGCTCGATATGTCAGAGGGTGTCAGCCTCACAATGCCGAGGGCCGTGCCTTTGAAGGCGTTTGCAACTCCTCGTCTCTCACGTCAGTTGTACCCTATTGCATGATATATACATGTGGTTATAATGACTTCATGTATTTATACACATGAGAGAGAGAGAGAGAGAGAGAGAGAGAGAGAGAGAGATCTGTCTACATGATCAATATCTTTGAGATGTGTGTATGATGTAGCTTAAATAAATCCACCACTGATCTATTGGAAAGATATGGATTTGTACTACCCTATCTCAGAACGTCTTGGAAAAGTATGCAGTAAATAGTTTCGTAATAAAAAGTTAAGGCTTAGATGCTGACGATGATGATGATATGTTTGCACAATACATATGTAAGCAAACAAAATTTTAGATGCATGGCATAAGTAGATGTTGGCTGCATAACAAGAACACCTCTGTGATTTTTGGCACAGTCCAGCATTTCATACTTTAGATCTCACCTTCTACGAATTAGATTGTTTCTATTCAATCTTGAGACATTAATTTTTCAGGTCCTTAGAGGATGCAATTAGGATTTTTATTTATTTATTGAGGTTTATATCTCAATTCGGAGTCTTAGAGTTAATTCTATGTGAGATTTCGCCTGAGGGAATAAGTCAATTTGGTGTCCTAGACTTAATTCTATGTGAGATTTCACCTGCGGGAATAAGTGGATAGTATACTCCCGGGAGAGTAGAATATCTCTTGGGAATGGTTAAATTATTGGGCTGGTCATAAACCTGGAGCTAGGCATGAAAAGGGCGTAGAGAGGGGTGGTTGGGAGTGTAAGCAGTGAAATGTTAGACCTTTTCCAAAAATCCAAGGCCCAGTGCTTCGGTGGCAATGGGCTAGGTGGCCCGGCTCGACCCCGGCCCTAAAACACTAGCCCTGGGCCACAAGGCTCGAGCGCTGGGGCGGCCGAGCCAAGGCCATGAGAGAGCCAACCCGATTCGGTCTTCCCTGTTGTCAGCTCTACTTCATAGCCACGAAGTAGAGCTCTATGAAGTGGAGCTAGCTGAATTTATCAAATTATTCATGCGAGATGAACTATTTAACACTTTATTTTTATAATTTGATTTAATTTCAAAATATGTAAAGAAAAATACATGGTGTTGAGCTGGAATAGCTTTAAAGGAAAATGTTTCTATACTTCTCCTACAACATAAAAGATATATGCATCCCCTCCCATCTATCTGTCCAATTTAGATCAAGTGAGTCACACGCCGTTTGATCTAGATCCGACGCTTCAGAGCTATTTTTTTTTTTTTTTCTTTCTACAAATTGTGTAAATATGAGATCTAGTACGTATCATCTTCTCAATGAGGCACATTTATGACAAATATTTTAAATTTTTTTTATAAAATATAATGACCAAAATACCCTTTGAAATTTTTAAGGCTACTTTAGTCATTTATTTTATTGGTAATATTTTTTTTTTATTTTTTACAAGTGCGAATTTAAGAGAGGAGTGGACCCCCAAATTTTGGTATTAAAATAATTTATAGTAAAAAAATTTAAAATAAAATAGTGTAGGTAGAGATGTGACATTGTGATTGGGCCATCTCAGCTATCCATTCAAAATGGATGGTTGAACAAAGGGAAGCATATAAGTTTTATGTTGTAGGGGAAGCATATAAAGCTTGCCCAGCTTGAAATGCGTAAAATGTTAAATACTTCATTTCTAATAATTTTTTTGATAAATTTCCTTTTTCTATTTTGGTGAGACTTGTGAGTTTGAATCGAATTGAGCTGTTTTTAGTAAATGGACTTTTAAAGTTATTAAAAAATAGAAAAACTGTCATTTTTTTTAATGTTTTGGCTTGAAATCACATGGCTCCTAATATTACCATGATTTGAGCCGGCTCAACAAATTTTTAAAATAATTATAAATCATGGTTCTCATATTTTCAGGACTTGGTTGCCTGGTCATTGCAATGAACAACAATATCACTGTGTAGAATTTCATTAACATGCATGAAATGAGCACCCATGTGTAGCACATAAAGTCAAGAACGCATGTGTGTGAGAGAGAGATAGATGGAGAGAGAGAGAGAGAAGGATCCTAGGATTTGGGAATGACCCTCTTTAGCTCAAGTTAAAGGATCATAACCACATATGCATGGCACAAGAAATTAAGCACACATGTGAGAGGCAGTCTAAACATATTTGATTCCCTTTAAATATATTTGATTCCTTATATTTAAATATTTGAAGAAATTAAGGCTCATGATCTTCTTCCCTTATATAATTGATTATTTTTAAATATATTTTGTAACAACCACTCATAATTCCATCAAAGGATAGTCGATACGAGACCATTTATCTTTGGTATAAGAGAGGCGCAAATGATATTAGCCATTATGTCAAATACTTAGGCATTATGTCAAAATTGGAAAAAAAAAAATTAACTCAAAATTTAATTAATGATACACATCTTATTTGAACTAGGACGGACAAAAGTAATTATAACTACCTTGTATTAAAATTATGATTAAAATAAAAGTTAATGATTTCATG